GGGCTGTTGCTATTTGAGCTGGTGTGTGTGTGCGTGGGTGCCCATGTGTGGAGTGGGGGGTGCAGCTTTAAGCAGGCCTTTGAGTGGCCTAATTGCGTTGGAATACAGCAGCCTGAGAGCTGGCTCAGATCACGGCGGGCTGCTGGAGGGGTTAGTGCCCGCACCTCGACAGCCACACTCAGCAAAAGGGCCCCGGCACAAAGCACACAATTAATGCTCTCCCTCTCGTTAACTCTCTCCCCACTTTTTGTCCTCTCCTACTTTTTCTCTGGGTCTCCTCCTTCTCACCCCCCCCCCGCCCCCCCCACCTCCCAACCCAGATCTTGGTTCCCCCCCTCCGTCTCTTGTTCCTCCCTCACCAGCGACGGGCTCAGTATGTCGTCACTCTCCCACTGTATTAATCCTCCCATGCAGCCTGTCAATCTCCCCATCTTTGATGCGCACAACAATTACAGGAAGGATGAAAGGAGCGGGTCGGCCGCCTCTCATTATGTAAGACTTGAAAGAGGCCACGGCGAGAATTATTGATATCTACCAGCTAATCTACAATAAAAACTTTTATTATGTGCGGGAGACGATGTGCTGTTACTGGCGACGCTCCACAGTGAAGCAAGATGGAAGATGGAGACATGAAAACCATGAGCAATGATTTGCTTATGAACATAGCTGGCAGGATAGCTGCACTCGTCTTATCTTTGCTCTTGATTCTTCAGTGCAAACACTGGCACATGTAAAGCGTTTGTGTCCTTGCAGTCATTTGTTGTGCTTCATTAGATTGTGTCTGCTTTAGAGACAGTGCTGATGAATTGGTATACATTAGGCTTATATAGACAAAAAGTGGCAAAACGATTAGCAGGGTATACATTTAGCTAATTTTAAGGCAAATCCGCTGCCGTTTATGCTCCAGCCCCTCAAATAGTAAATCTTTGCCGTTTTTTTGTTGTTGTTTTTCTAGTAATCAACCATTGATCTGCCATATATTTTCATTTTCATCTCCCCTACATTGAAAACATAGTTTTTTTTTAGTGTTTTTAAGATATACTCCTACAAATAGCTAAAAATGCTTTATAGTCCATAGACGTCATGTTTTCAGACAGTTGCTTTACTCTGGCTTTCCAACTAGCTCTGTACACCCCTGCACTTAGGTCGCTCTCTTTCACAGCCTGGTCGTCCCACCATTACAAATTTCTGTCAACAAAAAGTTTGAAATGATCCATTTCTGTCCTCTGTGGTGGGCTGCATTACATGGGTCCATCAAAGGCTGCGGTTCACCGAATGATTAAGACCTCTTTCCCTTGCGTTTCAACCACCCTCTCTAAACTGGACTCAGTGGACTGGGAACGTGGAACAATAAGTAATTTAAAAAACATATCATATTTAACCAGCCCCTCCTTTGATTTTCTCTATTACCCGTGCCGTGTCTTAATAAAATCTAATTATTTCCGCTCACGGGATGCTTGCTGGTGAGAAATTGGCAGAGGGATGTGAGCTGATGTATGGGGAGACAGTCGCCTAATTAGAGCGTTAGAAATTGAATCTTTACAGCGCACGGGTCATATAATTATCCTACTGTTAATTTAACGCTTACATTCTCCACTGTTCATTTTTATTCCCTTAAATGTAGTTTGGCAGCAGCCCTCACTGCTCAGCACTGGCTGTTAGTGTATGAGAGGAGGCAGCATGGCCTCTATCATTGGCCCCTCCGAATGATTGAATAACTGCGGACCCTGCAGTCCAAATAACAAGGCTCGCATCATTTATGCATTGTTAAGCCATGTAATTGAAACGAGCCATAGTTTGCATATTACACCATTAAAATAATGTGCTTTGCGTTTCTCTCAACACGACTATTTAAGCCTGTGTGGCGATGTGGTAATTCCTTGAATTACAGCCTAATTACCACAATGTTCTTTTGATTTGGCCGATTTCAATGTTACGCCACAATAATGTTCAATATTACCAGAATGAATTACTGAGCCGTGCCTGGAAACTTTTCATGGCATGACTTAAATCCTGGTGGCTCCATGAGCTGTCACTGCAGCTGGATTCACATCTATAAAGGATTATTAGCCTATGAAATGAGATCCATTAAAGGCCCAATCACTAATACTTTATTGAAGAGCTTGAGTTATACGTGGAACAGGAACATTTTGTGTGGGGATCTCTGCTGGCCCTGACTAACCACTTAATCTCACTGTGTGCACACATCACAGCTTGTAAACTGACCATCAGACAAGATTATTGTTGTTGAGAATTATTGGATTTTTTAAAATGTCTTTTTTTTATAAGGTTTGTTTATCGAATTACAACAGAAGCAATTTAATAAAAACGTATTCTTACATGTTTGGTTCCTCATTGTGCCTTAATAGCAAAATATGCAATTAATTACTACAAAGTTTCAAGTCTTAAATGAGTGTGAAGATTTTTAAGGGGGCAGTTTCTATTATTTTAGGGTTTGGGGACACCTGAGGTTCAATTTCTCCTTTATTTTTTATTTAAATAACTTCAAAGCAAAACCTCCCAAAAAAAGAAAAGGCAAAAAAGTTGTGGCACAACTTAAATCAGCACATGAATTAAGAATCTGATCCAGGTCATGGAGAACAGACATTTTGCAATTAGCGCCTGTCCTTTGTAACATGCCTCTGCATTGTTCACAGACCTCAGTCTGCACACTTGACATGTGTCCCTGTGTGAACTTTTTGGAATAAATTTACATAGCTGAGAATAATTTGTGAGTGTGAATATTTAATGCACAGAATTTTTAGTTTTTCTCTGCAGCTCGGAGAGACATATATGTATTTTTGTAAAAGTATTGCTCTGATGATGGATTTTTTTTATTGCCTTTTAATTTTACTGCAGGTCTAAGTTATTAAATAAAATGTTTAATTACAGTTTCAGTCATTTGCATTGAAAGAAAGTTATAAATTGGGAATATTGAAGAACAGTGTGTGCTGATTTATAGGTTTAATTTGTTGCCACTGTTTAATGCTGTAAATCTAGAGGGGAAAATTGTTGAATTTTTGTAGGACAGGCTAAACTGTGGCGTTTGTCTTCAGATTTTCAGAGTGAAAACCAAACTTAGAAACTTAAACAAGCTTCTGTCGACACCATACTGAAGTTTTGTTTTTGTTTTTGTTTTCTCCACCTAGTTTAATTTATCCCACTGGAGTTATGAGGAGCAGCATCGAGGACAGACATAATCTCTCTTATCTTTTTCACTTCTTCCAGCTCTTTCTTCCTCTCAGGGCCCTGAACTCTTCACTCCTCCCTCCTTTATCCCTATGCAGGCTTTGTCCCCGCAGCAGAGACCCTCTCTAAATAGGGGCCTTTAGATAGTCCAGGAAAGGGGGTGCAGTGGCGGTGACACGGCTGCTGTTGTTTCATTTACCTCTCCCTATGGCAACCGGCAGCAGTCGGCCAGGAATGTCCCCTCTCTGGACAAAGTCCTGGTCCCTGAAGCTGACACTGAAGGGGAGGGGGGGGGGGGACGACAGCTGGGATGTGATGGAAACTTGCCCTTTCTGCCCTGGACTGGAGGCTTGAGTTTGGACTTAATCCCTCTGTTCATTTCTGACTATCTTCTCTTTGGTCCAGGATGAGCAGCCCGAAAAGCCTTCCACACACTATTATACCTGTAATAGCTCTCTCCAAGACCTGAAAAAAAATGTTTTGATCCAAAGTGATGATCTGAAGATTCTCACAGCTACAAAATGCTTTAGTCTGACAAAATCCGCAAAAATCTATGTTTGTGTACTTTTTTTCCTCTTTTATTGTTGTTGTGGAAGTCATCAGCTCTGTATCTGGTGTCCCTCCTTTTCTCTGTGTGTAACCACTCCCACCACAGGGGTTTACCCACAGCCTGTCTGGACACTAAAGTTTATCCTAAAGTGAAAATAACAAATCACCCTCTATATTTAGTCTCCAGTTGATTTAAGAAAAATGTTAAGGCTGGAGCAGATGACTGTCACTGTCAGAGCGGTCAAAATAATTTAGTTTAAAAATTATTACATCAATCAGTTTGCATTTGATCCAATATAACATTTATTTTGATTATTCTAATCTAATAAACTAATTTAACTGAAAGGTGTTTACACCTTGTCCTTTAATCCTGAAATTCAAACGTAATCATGCCCATTTTTTTGTTCTTTACTTTGTGCAGAATGATACACATTTGTGAACTGAGATAATTGTAATATAAAATGGAAAGTGATATAAAATGGAAGTAATATAAGCCCACACACATTTTCATCTGACATACGCTAAACAGACAACATTAATTAAACAAAATATAATTTCACATAAAATATTATTTTCACATTAATTATATGCAATAAAAACAGCTGAAATTATCTTTCAAATGTGTTTCACGCACGTGCAGATTTCAGGAATACTCTTGTAATATATTAATATTTTTGCTTTTTCTCAAAATATCAGTCCACATACAGATCCACGCGCATTATCAGAATCCCCATTTAATTACAAAAAATTGCATGCGTAAAAGTCCATAATTCTCCTTTAGCTCAGTAAACTAGTGCACATCCATCACAGCGCACATTTATTCACTCCTGTCCAGAGAGTGCCCAGCTGGAACCAAACTTCCTATACCAGTTTGAGTCTAGTTAAACAGGGTTAAGGGATAAATCAGCGGTGTCTTACAGTTTCCCCGCCGGTCCCGGTGCCGGTGCCGGTGCCGGTGCTCCGTGCGCCCATGCCGCGCTCCTGCTCTCCGCGTCCGCGGGAGCCTCGACTCGCACCTCTCCGGCGGAGGAGGTATAGTGTTTTTTTTGCCGAGGCTTTCGCGCAGCCAATCGATAAAGCGTCGCCCGTGGCAACCACGTCCATCATCTTCCCGGAGCCAATGGGGCGGCGTGGGCGGGGCCGGGTCCAGGTGCGCCTCGGCGTCCACTCGGCAGAGCGCCCGGGAGCCGCCTATGGGCAGGAGAGGATCTGTCAAATGCGCGCTCCCCTTAATGAGAGCAACCAGTCCGGCTCCGAGAGTCATGGCGACCGCAGCGTCTAACCACTACAGCATCCTCACCTCCAGCGCCTCCATCGCGCACCCGGAGCCCGGCGGCATGCAGCAAGCCGCGGCGTACCGGGACGCGCAGAGCCTGTTGCAGGGCGACTACGCGCTGCAGGGCAACGGCCACGCGCTCAGCCACGCGCACCAGTGGATCACGGCGCTGTCCCACGGAGAGGCCGGGCCCTGGTCCTCCGGCGCGCTGGGCGCGGAGCAGGACGTGAAGCCCGCGGTGCAGCGGGACGACATGCACGCCTCCACTAACGGCAGCAGCCTACAGCAGCACCAGCAGCAGCAGGCGCGCCCCCCCCCACACCTGGTGCACCAGACGCACGCGAGCCACCACGACGGCCGGCCGTGGAGGAGCACCGCGGCGGGGGTGCACATGGCCGGCATGGCGACCACCAACGGCCAGAGCCTCATCTACTCCCAGCCCGGGTTCGGCGTCAACGGGCTGATCCCGGGCAGCGGAGGAGGAGGCGGCGGGGGGGGTGGAGGCGGCGGAGGTGGAGGAGGAGGAGGGCCGGGGATGCACCACCACAACCTCCGAGACGCGCACGAGGACCACCACAGCCCGCACCTCAGCGAGCACGGACACCAGCACCAGCACCAGCTCCGGCCCCAGGGCCACCACGACCACTCGGACGAGGACACGCCGACGTCCGACGACCTGGAGCAGTTCGCCAAGCAGTTCAAGCAGCGCCGGATCAAGCTGGGCTTCACGCAGGCGGACGTGGGGCTCGCGCTGGGGACCCTGTACGGAAACGTGTTCTCCCAGACCACCATCTGCAGGTTCGAGGCCCTGCAGCTCAGCTTCAAGAACATGTGCAAGCTGAAGCCCCTGTTGAACAAGTGGCTGGAGGAGGCGGACTCCACCTCGGGCAGCCCCACCAGCCTGGACAAAATCGCCGCGCAGGGCAGGAAACGGAAAAAACGGACGTCCATCGAGGTGAGCGTAAAGGGAGCCCTGGAGAGCCATTTTTTGAAGTGCCCTAAGCCGGCGGCGTCGGAAATAATCAGCCTGGCGGACAGTCTCCACCTGGAAAAAGAGGTGGTGAGGGTTTGGTTTTGTAACCGGCGGCAGAAGGAGAAGCGCATGACGCCCCCGGGGGGAGCGCTGCCCGGGGGCGAGGACGTGTACGGAGACACGCCGCCGCACCACGGGGTCCAGACCCCGGTCCAGTGAACTCTGCTGACCGCTCCTCCAGGACTGGCTCTTCTTTCTTTTTTTTATTTATCCCCAAGGTTATATATAAAACCACCGGACTATGAGACGTTCTAGAGGGTGTTTTTATGTGTAATAGATGGCGGTGAGTGCTTAAACCACATCTGCAGCCACTGTCCGAGAGATTGGAAAATGGTCAAGGGGGAGGACAGGACATTTTTCCCGGCTCGGTCAGAGCTGGAGGAACAGAAGCCTGTCCGTGTTCTCCGAGGATCCATGCCCAGCACTGTGACTCCAGTCGACGCAGTTTCAAGGTGTAGCCCCCTATTGTGTACCGAAACCGTAAAAAACTGAAAACAAACACAAAAAACGAAAAAAAATCTAACAGAAAAATTAGGGAGACGAAAGAGGGATTTTTTTAGATGAAAAAGGATAGCAGAATAGTTCCCATCCGCCACTTTTTATGCGTTTAGTTGCTGTGTGTGAAAGGGAGCCGCGTCCCGGTAGTTGTGGAGCTCCAAAATTGTGCGTCCAGCGGTGACCGGACAGCGGGTCAGGGGAGCTGCGGACGCGTGGAGAGAGCCGGAGGCCGGTGGGCTGCGGCCACTGCCCGGTGGTGTCCGGCAGCCCCGGCCCGGTGGTGTCCGGCAGCGCCTGTCCGGCTGACGGACGGACAGCAGGGGCCACTGGCCGCTTTATCCTGAGAGGTCTGCATTAGGATTATTATTATTATTGTTATTATTATTATTATTATTATTATTATTATTATTATTATTGTTATAACACGTGCAGCTCAGTGGCTAAGGTCGCCATTAATTGGCTCGCGTGCAGCGACGTGGTAAATAAGAAGTGCGTGACCTCAACAATCAGCAGTATAAACAGAAAGTCCATTCTGTTTTTCACACAACAGTTCAATAGGGTGATGCCCCCCCCCCCCCCTCCCCCCTCTCCCCCCACTGTGGCGTCTGATTTGACTACATGGCACTTTCCCACAGTAAGATGGAATATGTGTGTCTGTTTGCATACATATATATATATATATAATATATATATATATAAATATATATATATATTTATATGCATGTATGTGCACAGACACAGATAGTAAAATGCAGAGGCAGCAGCTCTAGAAGATTCGGATCCACTTTTGTAAATATTGTATAACTTTAAAAGTCATGGCTTCATTCTTTTTCTTTTTTCGATCTTCACTGTGGCACTTTTATTTGAGAGGAATGTGTTTTTGTATTTTTTTTTTTTTGGTTTTTTTTTTTTTAAAACAAGCAGCTTCAGTTCCGGATCCAGTCTCCCAGTAACTGCCACGTTTTTGGGGGGCTGCTTTGTTTGTCTTTTTTTTTTGTGTGTTGTTGTTGGAACTTGAGGGTTTTGTCTTTTCTCTGTTCGGTGTGAACTGGAGCTGGGTTGAGGCGGTGCTGGGCAAGAGAATTCAGAATAATCGATAAGTTTGAGAACTGTCCGCAAATGATTGAGATTTAGAGGACGACGGAGGCATCTTCAGGATAATATCAATAAGATGAATTCTACATATTTTCCTCCCAAAACACGCATTCAAGCCACATTCCAAAAAGATAAGCATACGATCAAAATATTATTATTAATATTATCATTATTATTATCATTATTATTATTATTATTGATCTGTTGTTTTAGTTTGTGAGCTCATTTCACTTCAGCCATTTTGTCCATGAGTGTATCTTTATTGTGTGCGTGTGTTTGGGGGGGGGGATCATTCGTAGACAATTAATTTTATTTTTCGTAGTTTTTGTTGATGAGATTGTAATTTATTCTGCGAGGACTTTTCTAGATGACACAGAGGGCGAAATATAAATACATATATATATGAAAAATGACGGGAAGGCTTTTTTGTTTTATAAGGGATGGGAAGAGAGCTATTTTTTACTTTGCAGCGGGGTTTGCCACAGCCAGATACATACGTCTGTTCTTTACGCTTTTTTTTTATTTACATTTTTTTTATGCAAAGGCACATAATCCAGGGACTTGTTCGGTTTTGTCCTTCTCCTATTGGAAAAGGCGTTTTTGTCTTTCATTTAGGTTTTATTTTTTTACCCCCCCTCCTCTTTTTGCATTGTGTTTATCTTGCAAAGCAGCAGAAAGCATCACTCAGATCTGTCCTAGCTTTAAATCGAATGATCACAAATTACTGGAAGCTCAACTTGTGGGATGTAGACCTGTAGCAATCCAACGCTGTTTTTATTTCTCTTTAGATGACTTGTTTTTGGGTCTTTTAAACCTTTTTTTCCTTTTTTTTACGGCCATGTCATATCACTGGATGGACTTGGGGGTAGACATGAGGTGATGAACGCCAGGTGTTTCATCACCTCACACATGAATGACGGACTTGCACATTTTTAAATAATGGGGTTGATATTAAACAGCTTTTTTTTCCAACTTACAGTCTTAATGTATCATTTTAGATGTATATGTACACACACACACACACACACACACTCTGAAGCCCTATAAATGCTGGGCTGCTGCGTTCTGCCTTGAGCCGCGTTACAAATCGTGCGTCTGGCTTTTGGGGGGAATTAATGGCTGTGAGGAAATCGGACTTGGTGAATGGAAGATTGTGAGGCCGTGATGTGTTGTTCCTGCCTCGGGGCTGCTTTCAAATGCACTTGCGTTGGCTGGAAACCTTCCTACGGTTGAATTAGAGGTTCCCACAGTGGGGTTTGTGGACCAAAAAGTCTCCTCGGGAAGGCTGAAAGCGGTCCAATATTTCTGCCAGGTCCCCCTTCTTTTTTAAGAGTTGGTTATTTAAGATTATTGACGTTAAGAATTCTCATTGGATCTAAGGTACCCTTTTATTTATCTTAATGGAATAAAGGAGTCCATGGTATTCTTGGTTATTTGAGCCAGCGAGGAGCTCCTTAAAATAAAATCTCACGCTTCCTTCTGCTTATAAAAAAATATATATATATTTCCATGAAAGGTATTTTTAGATTAATTAATCTAATGTGTGAAGGAAGGAATCCACTGTAGCATTTCCAAACACTTGTGGTGGCAGTGATGCTGCCAGCGGTGACCCTGATGGGTTCTCGTTCCCTTCTGTGTGTCATTTTCTCTCGGATATTCCCACAGGAGGCTCCGGTGTGATGTCTGCGCGAACATCTGCCCGAGCATCATAGCCTGGTTTCATTTCAGCTCAGAAAAAACACAAAGTTGCCACCTCGCCTCTGCAGTCTGCGGCTGTCAGTCAGCGCGCGCACCGGGATTCCTGCTCCGGTGTTTGCGCCTGAACGCAATCTCTGTGCGTCTGCGCCATTTATAAGAGGAAATGGGAATTAAAAGGGAATTAGCGGCCGGTCGGCCATTAAAAACTGGTGCAAACTGAGGCCGATTGGAACACGCAAATCAGGTTTCCCTTACGCGTAATGTGCAGTGGCCCTTTGTCTTCTGTGTTAAATAAACCATTCGCTAAAAACAGATACTTAATGATATAGTCCCTAAAAAGATATTCACAAACCATATCTCAGGTCAGTGATCTAATTGGACGTCTGGGTGATGGGATGATGTGGCGCAACAGCGTGAACCATCGGGCCACATGTCTTGACGTTGACGCAGCAGGAGAAAAAGAAAAAAAACACTTTTTTTTTTTGCGTCATCTTCATAATCACTCAGAGTTCGACCTGCCTTTTGGACGCCTGACACACGACGGCACCCGGAAATAAGGATCCCCTTCATCCTGTTTCTTATCTCTAAAGACGACTTTTGTGGAGGCTTGTAATAATAATAATAAAAAAAGAGGGAAACGGTGCGCCCTGGTGCCCTTCTTCCGCTCTCTAACTGACGCAATTAATAGCGCGTCGCGTTAATTACACCTTCCTTTTTATTTTAGGTGACTTGAAAATCCCCATTAGGCTTCAAGGAAAAGAGGAAAAGAAATAGGCTGCCGTGGTTTAGAGACGATAGTCGGCGTTCTAGCGCCATCTAGTGGCGGCCCCGGGGTTCTGTGTGGATGTCTGTTCCGGTTCAGTAGTGGGCCTGTTAGGCTCCATCCAGCATGATTCATGGGCAATATTTTTAGGATAAATGTGGAGAGTGGTGGAAGGAAGCTAAGAGGACATAGTGTCCATAGAAAATATGTTTAAAACGACCCCAACAAGCAAAGTATTTCTAATTTAACAAGTCAGCGATTTGATAAGAAAAATCCTGACACCGTTTCACAGGTGAAACACATTTTTATTGTTTTAAATAAAGGATTTCCTGTAGTTGGTAGACATCAATACGTTCATCCAAGTGGGATAAAAAATGATCTCCTTATCTAGAGAAACAAAAACGGTCCACTTTGGAAATATTCAAGCAAAAATACTGCTGTAAAAAAACAAAAAAAAAACATCTGTGGTAACACGTGATAGATCGTTGTTTATGTTTTTAACCCTAAAGACCACAGCAGCTGACAGGTCGTTGTTGTTTTTTTGTTTTGTTTTTGTATAAATAGTTTCATTGGTTCAAAATAGCTCAGCAAGATTTCACTTTTTTTTCTTTTTTTTTTAAAGCGATAACTCACAGGGGTCCACAAATGTTGTGTCTTTTAGGACTTTTGGCTTATTAAAGTACAAATTCAACAAATAAAATAAACAGCCCCAAATGGTCACTCGTTTTCCAAACTCCAGCTCCCAGCATTGAAGATTTGGTATCAGATGTCTTTCACACACGCATCAATCTGGTTATTTCTCCCTGTCTTGTCTAAGTCCTTCTCTGTAATTATTCTATTCAACCTCATTTCCTATTTTGTTGACATATATATTTATTATTAACTAAAGTAGTGAGTAATAGAAATGGCACATTCAGTACAAATGTAGGCATCTAGACACAAACAAGCAACACTGATCATAAAAATGTATAATCTATACATGTATGTATTGATTTATATGAGTTATTTAGTTATCTGGAGGGGGGAAAGTGACAAGTAGAGTTCTCATTATGTGTCATAACACCAGGTTTTAAGTTGGATCTCCAGGAGATCAGCTTCATTCACT